AGGTAGGTTTGGGTAAGGGGTAAGGTAGAGAGGTAGGGTTAGGTAGAGGGGGGGAGGGGAGGGGAGGAGGGGAATGTGAGTGCGTTCGTGGGTGTGTTTTGTTGACGTTTGTGTGCCCGGGCGTTTTGTCGGTTCTTATCTTAATTCATGAGGGATTTAATGTCCTTTAAGACGCAGGGAGTAAGTCTACATCACAATAGATGGCAACTAATCAGCCGTCTTTAGCGAGGAGGGACGAAGAATAACTTAAACAAAACCAAAAAAAATAAATAACCGAAATCAGCTACAATATATATATATATGTATATATATATATATATATATATATATATATATATATATATATATATATATATATATATATATATATATATGCGTGTGTGTGTGTGTTTGTGTGTGTAAGGATAGATAGATAGATTGATAGATAGAGATCGGTAAACAGATAGATAGGTAGATAGACAGATACATGATATTCGTGCGTTCGTTTTGAGGAGGACGAGGAGAGGTGGCGACATGCGTGTGTGAGTGTGTGTGTGTGTGTGAGTTCGTGCGCGCGTGTTCTCTCCCCTCTGAGGCCCTCCACTCTCCCCTCGCTAGTCGCTCTCTTCCCCTCGTTCGCTACACCGTTGGAATGACGTTTGCTGCAGCCACGCGCGTTTGAAGGGACTGGAAAAGGGTTTGAGGAGGGACCGAGGGGCGTTGCCTTCCCCGCCCTGGCCGCCTTCAGGAGCGCGATACGAGACATATCTGGATGTTTTTGAAGAGTGGTTGAGTGCGTTATTGTGTGTGGTTTTTTGGAAGATGAAAAGAGGAAGTGCGTAAGTGAACGTTTATATTTGGTTTTGTGTCGGAGGTGATGAGCTGGTGGTGATGATAATGATGATCATGATGATGATAATGATGATGATTACGTGGTGATATATATATATATATATATATATATATATATATATATATACATATATATATATATATATATATATATATATATATATATATATATATATATATATATATATATATATATATATATATATGTACGTGGTTTAATCCGATGGAAAACGGGATTTTAAAAAGGAAGTCAGTGGATGAAATTGGATAGAAATTCACACGATCTGACGGAAAAAGTGGAATATCTATTAGGATCGTATTTCCAAATATCTGAAATGAATAACCGGATTTGTCCTCCCAGAAATCGATAACAAAAGAATGGAAGTGAAACAGAGTGCTTCTTTTGTATCGAAATTTAGGAAAACAAAAGTGATCTTTTTTACGAATAAATCATCGTCTTTTGTAAGGACGATTCCCACAAATGTAAATAAATAAATAAACAGTAATAACAGCATGAACAGTGTGAAGAACAAGGCCTAGTGAACAACAGGAAAGTTCATTCAACCGGAAGCATGTCGTCCTTAAGGAAGGAGAACAGGGGGGGGGGGGGATCCTACTCGACTCTTAAATAGGCCTAGGCAATTTTATGAGTTTTGTAGCCTGTATCTTTGGTTGTTATTTTTTCTTCTTTTTTGGGTGTTATTTACTTTTTTTTGTTTTTGTTTTTTGGTATATTTGTTGTTTTTTGTAAGTATTTTGTATTTATATATATATTTTTTTTTTGACGGGGGAGAGTTTGTAGTCTTAAAATGACTTAGACGTTGGACGTTAAAGGCACAGCAGCGCCGACAGACACTCGTTACACATCACGAGGAGACTCCTCCCTCCTTCCTCCCTCCCTCAGTAGACACTCTAAAACGTAGCAGGGGGGGGGCAGGGGGGGAGTTCGTCGCCAACGCCGTTATGGCAGACGTCCAGGTGGTCCTTCGAAAAACGGTTCGCCTTGACCTCCTTCTGCAGGAGAACCGCGTCTGCAGGAGTGAACCAACCTTTTTATCATTGGGGAAAGCTGGAAAACAGGTGGTAGGGAGGGAGGAACAGGGAGAGGGAGGGAGAGAGAGAGAGAGAGAGAGAGAGAGAGAGAGAGAGAGAGCGAGAGCGAGAGAGAGAGAGAGAGAGAGAGAGAGAGAGAGAGAGAGAGAGAGAGAGAGAGAGAGAGAGAGAGAGAGAGAGAGAGAGAGAGAGAGAGAGAGAGAGAGAGAGAGAGAGAGAGCGAGAGAGAGAGAGAGAGAGAGAGAGAGAGAGAGACAGAGACAGAGACAGAGACAGAGACATTCAGACAGACATTCAGACAAACAGACAGGACAGATCCACCGGGAAATGTACCGGGGAACAAAATCGAGGGCGAACCGGTGCTGGAAAGAAAAGAGAAGAGAGTAGTGTTGCGTCCATCGAGGGTTTTCCCCAACGTTCGTCTTGTGAAGTGCGTCACGAGGTTTCTGGGATATAAATAACGTGCGTGTGATTGGCATGTGGGTATTGCGATACTTTTGCCCTTTTTTTTTGGGGGGGGGTGGAGAAAAAATGCGTTTATCGAAGAAAATGAAGAGGAAGACGTGTGGGAGGTTTTCGATGTGAAACTGGAAATGGTAGAGAGGTTGGTTCGGTTAGACTATGGGATTATTTTCTTAATTATAGGTTAGGCGTGATGGTTGTGTATGATCTGAGGAGTTTAAAAGGAGGCGAAGAAAGACAGCGTTTCAGACTTGTTTTATTTATTTGTTTATTCATTCATTTGTTTATTTTGACGCATTCCATTCCCTCCACGCCCTTTTATAACTCTACTTTCCCCCCTCTTCTCTTGCCCCCCCCTGTCCCCTCCCTCCCCTTTCTATTCCCGTCTCCCCTCCCCCCCTTCCCCTTCTTCGCCCCCGCCCTACCCCACTCACTCACTCCGCTGCAACTCCCCCCCTCTCCCCTCTCCCCTCCCCCGTCCCCACCGCCTGCGTAATACTCCACCACACCCCACCCTCTCCCCCACTACTACTACTACTCCTGAATCCAGTGCCAAATTCTCTCTCTCTCTCTCTCTCTCTCTCTCTCTCTCTCTCTCTCTCTCTCTCTCTCTCTCTCTCTCTCTCTCTCTCTCTCTCTCTCTCTCTGACTTTCGCTCTCTCTCTCTCTCTCTCTCTCTCTCTCTCTCTCTCTCTCTCTCTCTCTCTCTCTCTATCTATCTATCTATCTATCTATCTATCTATCTATCTATCCATCTCTATCTATCTATCTATTTCTTTCTCTCTTTCACTCTTTTCTTCCACTTTCTCTAAGGAGATAGATAGAATATAATAACATAGAAGATATATACAATAGAGAGTAAATAGACAGGAAAAAGCTATGCTAGGCAAATACGAAGAATGGAAAGTGACAGAAAGGACAATAAACTAAGATAAAAAGACACGAAGATGGAAGAAAAAGTGATTGATGGCAGTGATGACCGACGGAATGACTGATGGTGATAGACAGAATAAGCGATGTTTTCAAGAGAAAGATAAATGGGGAGACGAAATATAATGGATATTGATGAATAAAAAAAGACTTGGATGGAAAGAAATATTAACATGATTATTATCTTATGCATAAGGATTGTGGTTTCCTGCCTGGAACGTAGGGGTCTATGTAATCTCTCTCTCTCTCTCTCTCTCTTTCTTTTTCTTTTTCTTTTTTTCTTTCTTCTCTTTCTTTCTTTCTTTCTTTTCTTTATTTCTTTCTTTTTTCTTCTCTCTCGCTTTTTTTTTCTTTCTTTTTTCTTCTCTCTCGCTTTTTTTTTCTTTCTTTTTTCTTCTCTCTCGCTTTCTTTCTTTTTCTTTTTTCTTCTCTCTCGCTTTTTTTCTTTCTTTCTTTTTTCTTCTCTCTCGCTTTCTTTCTTTCTTTCTCCAGTCTTTTTGTCTGTCTGTCTGTTTCTCTCTCTCTCTCTCTCTCTCTCTCTCTCTCTCTCTCTCTCTCTCTCTCTCTCTCTCTCTCTCTCTCTCTCTCTCTCTCTCTCTCTATCTATTTATCTGTCACAGTTTTTTCTCTCTCTGACATAAACACACACACACACACACACACACACACACACACACACACACACACACACACACACACACACACACACACACACACACACACACACACACACACACACACACATACACACACACACACACACACACACACACGCACGCACGCACAACCCCCTCCCCCACGCACTCGCACGCATAACAAACGGTATACATGCGTTAGCAGTTCACGAATACGAATGTGCTTAAAGTGACGTGACTTGACTGGTGATTTGAGGGAATTATGTCAAGGTGATGATTAAGTATTGTTGTCATTTTATTTTTTGCCATATTTTCGGTGGTATTATTTCTCATTTTTGACTTTTTGATTTTACTGTTTCGTTGATGTATTTTTTGGGGATAATTCTTTTCGTTTTTTTTTTTGGTTTGTTTACGGTTTTTTATTTTAGGTATTTTGTGTTGTTATTTCGTTGTATTTTGGAGGCATTACCTCTTTTTTTCTCTAAGTGATTTTTAAAAGAAATATATTAATTTCAGTATTCCATTGAATTTTGAGTGTTATTTTTTTTTTGTATTTTTTTACAATTTGATGTTAGTGAAAGACTTAAAGGTATGTTGTGTTTTTTTCTCTCTATTTAAATGGTGTTTTTAAAAGTTAGTTGTAGTTTTTTAAATACTATTGTGTGTGTGTTTTTAAGATTTTTTGTATTACAGGAATAGAAAATTGTAATTCTTTTTGCAAGACCGTCGATCACACAAACAGCTAAAAATGAATGACCTTAATGTTAAATGTACATGTCTGTGATATCATGAGGAATAGATAAGGATTGAATTCTGTGGAAGATTTGTAAATTTCTTTTCTTATTACGTCTGACTGAATGTAAGCACCATGAAGGGAAACTGTCCGAGTTGACTGGAACGACGAGGCTTCCTCTTTAATCGAAATGCCTTCGCTGGTACAAATCCGCCAAGATGGAAGGGTCGAAGGAAGCGCGTCTGTCTGCGTATAAGTAGGAGGAACAACAGGAGTAACAGCGAGTCAATAGCTCCGTGGCAGAGGCGAGCGGGGCGCCGGACCTTCGCTTGGCGCCAGGGAGCAGCGGCGGCAGCATGAATCGGCGGTCGCGGTTCGAGCAGCTGGCCGAGTGCGTCCCCAGTTTCTTCTTGGCGTCGGACCCAGGGCCGTCATGGCGTCACAGCAGCCCCGTCACCACCCCCACCACCACGCTCACGGCCACCGCCACCCGCGCGGCCTGCTCCACCACCGCCGTCACCGCCACCACTGCCTCCACCTACGTGGCCATCGCCTCCACCTCCTCCTCGTCCGCCTACGTGGCCGTCGCCTCCACCTCGCAGGGCTACGCGAGCGCCTCCACCTCCCTCAACTGCCCGACGCCAGGCAGCTCCCGCGCCCACCTCGCGCCGTCGCCGTCGACCTCCGCCTGCAGGCTCCAGCTCAGCCCGGCGTCGTCCAAGGGCTACGGCACCATCACGAGGGCCAGGGGCGTCCTCAGCCCGACGCCCACCTTCGTCACGGCGACGCCCTCCGACGCTAGCTTCCAACACGTCCGGTTCACGACGCACAG